ATGATAATTTATTATAATCATAAACAATATTAAACTTCAGTACTTTCTAGTCACTGAATAATGTTCCAGTCCATCATCTTATTTTATCCTCACAATAACCCTAAGAATTAGGTGATATTTTTGCCATTTTACAAGTGAGGAAACTAGGCTAATTTCATATCACTTTGAGGTACCTAAGAAAGGCTTCACAACAAGCAAGAGTTAAAATAGAAAAACATGAAAAAGGTTTCCTGAATTCTAATATGAGAAATATATGAATAATGACTAAGTTTATTAACACTCTTTCGAGTAAAAAAAGGATATCTGTATCTTCCTCTTGGTCTAGTTTAGAGACAGCTCAGCTTAGAGAGGGAAAGTTGTTTCCATCATCACTGAGAATCTATGTGAGAGTGAATCATTGCCGGGCTGACTTAAGGGATAATTTTATTCTTGTATATTAGTAAAATCAGGTTAAAAGAGAGCTTTACTTGGAATTTAGGAGAGAACAACGTGTGTGGAATTATATTAAACCCTGTTTAGTGCAAGACATCATATACTCAAAATGGGGTGAATGTAACTAGAGTATCATATCAATTCAGAGTAACAAATTTGGAATAAAACGGAGGTAACCAAACTGATGCAAACATTTTATCCAAAAATATAAAGGGTTGGGTAAGGAATGGAATAGTGGAGAAAGCGGAGAAAAAAAAACAAGAGAAAAAAACAACAACAACAAAAGAAAGAAACGAACTTTTCCTGCACTCTAGCTATCTGTGGGCTAAGCAATTCTTCCTTACAGCATCTTAGTAGATTTGAGCCTCACAACAAATTTCAGAGTTAGGTAGTACTATCCAAAACTTTGTTCTGAGAAAACCAAAGTTTAAAATGGTACACAAAATTCCCAAAGTCCCACAATCACTAATTGGAGGGCCAGAATTCAAATTTAGGTCTATATTACTCAACATTATTGGGTCTTTCTACTACATAACACTGCTCTCAGGCAGTTTGGTCTCACTTACACACACACACACACACACACACACACACACACACACACACACTTTCCAGATGTTTGCACCTTCCAGAGTTGCCAGATGAGTGTACAATAGAGGGTCACCCTGCCTTCCTCCTCCCTTTTAAATATTTACGCTATTATTATTTGTCTTGAGGCTTAAAAGAGTTAATGTATCACTGCAAAAGGGATTAGAATGCTCTTATTTCTCTCTTAGCTTCCACTTAATTTAGATTATAGCATTGTATATTTGACTTTTTATTTTTGCAATACCAGCCAACTGCTTGCCTTATGGAAAACAAAATGCTGCCAGCAAGTGTTTTAAGCACTCCCCCACTGATCTTGTTCCTGAAAAGAAGAGGTCAGTTGTAGTGGCTTTGCAAGAAGACTATAGTCCTGTGTTAAAGACAAAAACAAACAAGCAATAAAAAAACAAAAACAAAAACACAAGCGCAGAAGTATGTTGGCATAAATGGTAGGCTTATCTCTTCCTGCAATATCACTAACAAAAATGGTACTTGTGACTTCTGACAGCAGCAGTTCTTAGTTTCTGTTAAGTCACTTTATTTTGAGTTGAATAAAATACTGGAATCAATGAGGTTATATGTCACTTCATTGTAAAGTATAATCCAAGTAATTAACAGTGGGCATTTATAAGAAACAGATCACAGTAAGGACACCAGACAGCCTTCAATTGCAAAACAATAGGACCCAAGGAAAGGAATTTGATAACTGAATTTATTCAGATGTTTCAGGGGATGGTGATGTATCAAGGAGGGAAATTGAAAAGATTCTTTCTCAATATACTGTGGGAAAAATACACAAAAATGGCTAATAATGAAACACGATTGTGTAGAAGTTCCACAGAGGTGAATGAATGTTACTAACACCTACGAAAAGAGAATAAGTTGCCCTGTGATCATAGCTGCATGTAGTTGCAGAAAAGAAGGGCTGCCTGTAGAGGTGAACATACATAACGGTTACTCAAGCGTATCAGAGGCCTTGGAAAGAGGGGGACTATTAATATCTAATAGTAGTCAGTTGCAGTACATGCAGAGTTTTGGGTGATGCTCAGTGCAAGGCTTAGAAAACGAAGTGCTGGTTAAAGATCCATGAGATGAGAAAGAATCTGAGGCCATTAGTGGTAGGAAATAGATAGCTTTACTCTATAGTGTGAACTAATTATTGCAAGTTCTCATCTCTAGAGTGGTCCCAAGGGAAGGGAAACCCTCCACAGCCCTCAGTATAAACAAAGGGACTGTGTGCAAACCAAGGTTGAAGGGAAACTTAGGCTGGAGTGAGGAGGCAATCCCTGTCCTTCCCCCATCTTTAACAGCCAGGTGTGTAGAAGAGATCTTTCACTTCACTTTTGGTTATTTTCCATGACACCTGTTTGATTTCTGAATTTCACACAAGGGTTTTGTATTAAAGGGTTCATATATAATTTAAAGGAAAACAAATATTAACTTAATTCAAGTTAAATACTCTTACTTGTATTTGCAATAATAACAGATATCTTTAAATTATTGCCCCAGTAAGATGAAGAGACAATCAGGAATTAGGAGAGATAACATAATGCAAATAAAATCAGTTTGAAATGTGGAAGTACAGTTAGGACAAGTGTTTGTTGTTGCCATTGGTATGTTTCGCTTTGTTCGTATCCAGCTCTTTTTTGGCTATCACTGATAACTCTGCTTTATCCATTCAAAAGCATGGATGTGCTTGATTGTAGTGATATAACGATAGGCAGGGCAGACCCACTTCTTACCTCACAGAGGCAACAACAACTGGTTGCCTGTTTCAATAAACAATGCTGCAATCACGTATGGGAGCATCATGACAGTGGAAGTGGAGGGGTCAGGAAAAGCTTGGCAGAGGACCCCAACCCAGGCCAGGTCTTCCTGAGCTAGACACCTCCCTGTCAGAAGACGTTTAAGCTGAAATTGAAAAACCGAAATGGAAGTAGGTTAGCTCTTTAGGATAGACACTGCAGTTAATATATTTATTATTTAAATTCCTAGAAAATTTAATTTATTGATAGTTTTTGGCAGCATTTTCATGTTATATTGTTTTAACTGTAAATATTCCATTTCTTTATCACATGTAAGCATCTTGATTTGTGATAACCACATAATGTTTAGCCAAATAGCTATTGACTGAGAGAAAAACTTTCTTCTACTTATTTTGCTTTCTTTCTCTTTCAAAATTTATTGGGATATAATTCATATACGATAAGATTCACCCTTTTGAAGTTAAAACTCAGTGTGTGTACCTGGTTTTTTTTTGTATATGCACACAATCTTGCAATGATTACCACTATCTAATTCCAGAACATTGCGATCATCCCAAAGAAAGACTGCATACCCATGAGCAATCATTGCCCACTCCCTCCTCCCTCACCCCCGCCTTTAGGAACTACCAGTCAAACTTTTGTCTCTATAGATTTGCCTATTCTAGACATTTCACACAAATGGAATCAACATGTGGTCTTTTTTTTCATCTTTATTTTATTTTATTTTTATTTTTTTAATAGGAAATTTATTGTCAAATTGGTTTCCATACAACACCCAGTGCCCATCCCAACAGGTGCCCTCCTCAATGCCCATCACCCACTCACTTTCCCCTCCCTCTCACC